ACAGAATAAACTTCAAACACCTTAGCTGGAGACTTAAAATCTTCCATGATGAGACTCAAGCTTGCCTTCACATATTTTTATTTTCAGATTTCAGTATTGCTCTTTAAATTCCAAAGAAAAGTAGCTGGTCTGCGATTTTCCAAGGAGGACTAGCTTCTCTTCTCTGGTGTTGGGAATCACACCCAAAGCCTTCGCATGCTCAACAAGTTCTCTGCCACTATTATTTCTCTAGGTAATGTTTGGACTCCTGAATTTTCTCCATGTCTACATCACCGTATAAACTTACTTTGATAGCAGTTTTGCTGTTTTATCTACTTTTAAGCCCTTTCTGTTGCGCCCCTATTTCTTGCTGCAGTGTAAGGAACACCTCTTCTGGGCTGCAGCCTATCCCATCATTCTCCCACTTCTTTCTTCCTCCATTCTTTATTTCCCATATTTAAAAATTAATCTAAATTAGTATCTTTAATTAATTTTGTTACTACCCATCCCCTAAATTTCTTTTAGATTTTTATCAAGCAATGTGAACTCTTAGTCTGCGTATTTTGAAGCACTTCAGACCCAGATACTTGATAATTAGTGTAGAGCTAAGCAATTTTATCTGCTCACCGGAGCAAGGACTGCACACTGTCATGACCTGTTAGTCAGGAAGGAGTGTGACCAACAGGAAGAGGAAGTAAAGGTTTATCAGATGTCACTTGAACCAGCTGCAACCTGTGAAGTTTGGATCAGACTGACTTTAGCTCCAGGTCTCTGGTCACTCAGAGGCCAGGTTCATAAAACTAGCTGCTATTAGATCCTTGCATATATTAAACCATGCAATAAATGATTGTTCTGTGGGACTGTCTTTCCCATTTCTGTGTTGGAAATACACATTTTCCCAGTGTTCACATATTTTTCTTCATTCAAAATAAATATTGTTTCCCTCCTCCTTTCTCCGTCCTGTCTCCTTTTGTTCCTCCCTTTCTTCTTCCTCTCCCCTCCCTTTCACTGCCTTTTGTTCCCCTTCTTTCCTTCCTTACATCCCTCTCTCCCTCCTTCTTTACCTCCTTCCTTCCCTCCGTTCTTCCTTCCATCTCTCATTCTTTCCCTCCCTTCTTTCTTTCCTTCTTCCCTCCCTCCCGCCTTTCTTTCTTTCTTTCTTTCTTTCTTTCTTTCTTTCTTTCTTTCTTTCTTTCCTTCCTTCCTTCCTTCCTTCCTTCCTTCCCTTCTTTCCTTCCTTTCTTTTCTTTTTTCCTTCCCTTCCCTTCCTTTCCTTCCTTCCTTCCTTCCTTCCTTCCTTCCTTCCTTCCTTCCTTCCCTTCTTTCTTTCCTTCCTTCCTTTCTTCCTTTCCTCCTTCCTTCTTTCCTTCCTTCTTGACTTCCTTTTTGCCTTCCTCCTCTCCTTTCACTTAGTTTATTTTATCTATTCCTTTTCAGTAATAAAATACTTTTATATTCAAACAGCAGAGTACAATCTGACTGTCTCTTTCACTGTGAGAAAAAAAAAGGTTGGTTCTACGACCTTAGTTTGAATAGCCAGAAGACATACATATGTATTCAATTTAATCCTTTAACAAAAAAAATTTAAGGGGATAGCTTGAACTTTTTCTGTATAAATAAAGCTTTCAAAAACTCAATTACTGGAAGGTCAGTAAAATGGCTTACAGAGTAAAGATGCTCACAGCTGAGTGCATAGCTTGACTTTGATCCCTGGCATTCATACTGTAAAAGGGAAGAATCGGTTCCTGAAAGTTGTTCTCTGACCTCTGCACAAATGTCATGTTGCAAACACCCAGAAGTACCTGTGAGAACACAAGAAAACACACATAATAAATAAATTAACTAATATTTAGAAAAAATAAAAAATCGGTTGTTAGAGTATTTATAGGATCCAAGAATTCAAAATTATCTGTATGAATTATAAACTTTGTTTTTCTATGTGCCTTTCATTCATGATTAATATATTAATCTACTGTCTAAGCATTATTTTAGGTGTATACTATATTCCATAAACTATGCTAGAGCCAGGAATACAGAATGAAGTGTGTCGAGAAACTTAGAGGAACTTGTGAAGATGGATACATAAGCCATCGCACCATAGTCGGGTTGAAAAATGCACTGACAGAAGGGCACCTTTGGAAAATGAGGAATGATGGCTGGTACTGGAAAGGATTTCCCAGGGAAGTCTCAAGTCATAAAGGCATCTTTCTATTACATAGCACAGGTTTGTTCATTTCAAGAACAGCATGACCATTTTGTCAATCACCTCTGTATAACTGGGAATATAAGCTCGTATCTTTCAGACCCTCCTTCTTAACTTTAAATAGACAAACATGTATGTTAGTGATAATTTCAGCTAAACAGTATGAAGAAAAACCATTCATCTAGGAGGAATTGTGGTCACCATGACTCTCCTGCCTTTTTTATCTTACTTTCTCTGCTTTGTTGTAATATGAGCGGCGGGCTGTGTCCCGCCACCTGGCTAGCTTTACCCGAAATAATTACATGGAAACTGTATTCTTTGTTGAAATAGGAGCGGCGGGGCTGCGTCCCCAACACCCCGGCCGCTTGGCTAGCTCATGCCCGAAATAACAACACACAAACTGTATTCATTTAGAGAACTGCTTGGCCCATGAACTCTAGCCCTTACAGACTAATTCTCGCACCTGGTCTAGCCCATTTCTAATGATGTGTGTAAGCACCCCAAGGTGCGCTTACCGGAAAGATTCTAGCCTAAGTCCATCGTGGGTCGCAGCTGCCTGGGAGAGCTGAGCATGGCGTCTCTGCTCCAGCAGAGCTGTCCAGTCTCTCCGGGAGCAGAGCAGAGTCTGACCTCACTTCCTCTTCTGCCCAGAATTCTATTCTGTTTCCTCCTCCCATCTATGCTCTAAGCTAAGCCAAGCAGTTTCTTTATTGCTCAGCCAATGAAATCAACAGATTGATATATGACACTCCCACATCAATTCTTTTAAACACTGCCTGGCCCGTTAGTTCCAGCCTCTTATTGGCTAGCTCTTACATATCGATCTAACCCATTTCTAACATCCCTGTAACACTACGAGGTATCTTACCAGGGAAGATCTTAACCTGCATCTGCCTGGAGTGGGAGAATCATGGCGACTCCCTGACTCAGCTTCTTTCTCCTAGCATTCTGTTCTGTTTACTCCGCCTACCTAATTTTCTGTCCTATTAAAGGGCCAGGGCAGTCTCTTTATTTAACCAATGAAATTAACACAAAAGAGAAGACTCTCGCCCATCACTGCTTGTCTCTGCCCTTCCTGGATCCTGGATCCTCTAAAAGTTCGTCACTAACCCTTGGTCTTCACATCAGCATCAACAGAGTTTTCCCTCTTCTTTCAGTCAAACAAAAATACAGATCCTGCCTCATCTAAAGAACAGAGAATTATAGAACTCTGGTTTTGACAGACTTTTAAAGAAAACTTAGAGTGGAAATGGATGTCTTGTGCAGTGTGCTGTGTAGCCTCCGGGCAGCTGGCTGTCAGGCGTCTGGTTTGCATCTCCAGTGTGGTGATCTCATTCTCAGAAGAGTGACCCTGTTTTTACATATCTTCCCAACTGGAAAAACAAATTGAACAAAAAGGAAATGTGAAAGACGTGCAAAGGGAAGGAGGCAGCAAAGGGGATGCCTCTGTGAGCACAATGACCCAGTTCTCACCTTCAGCACAGGGTGCTCCTCAGCGAGAAAATGACCTACAGACTAGCAGTCTACAGTGATGGGGAAGACTGGGGAGGTGGGCAAGAAAAGGGGAGAGGGTCCTGAGCTTAACACAACTTCTATAAGAGTGTCTGAGGTCTTCGCTGTAGTCTCATGCCATACACCAACAATATAAGAGGGTTCTGATTGATAGGAAAAGGAGGGGAGGGAAGAAGAAAGAAGGGGAAGAGAGGAGAGGATGGAAGGGGAGAGGAAAAGAGGAGCGGATGGAGGAGAGAGGATGGGAGGGGAAGGGACAAGAAAGGAGACAAATGGAGGGGAGAGAGACTAGAAGAAGGGAGACAAGAAGAGAAACAAGTTAAAGAAAAGCATAAGCAAAGAACCTTGGGTATCTTTTTCAGCTTCAGAGCATCTACTAATTTTATTCTAAAGACAAGAGAAAAATACTGATAAAAAGTATATAAGATAAAACTAAAACATTTCAGCCCAGTAAATAACTTTAATTCTATGAGTCTTAAGGAAAAAAAAACTTTTGTGGCTTCATTTTCTTTTAACAAATGGCCTACAGAATTAAGACTAAACCCCCAGATGGTTAGCTTCTTTCTCATAATCCGCTTTCTTCTGTTCATCAAATTCTTGACTGGGCATGCTTGACATTCACCTTTAGTTCCATTACTTTGGAGGCAAAGGTGGTGAATCTCTGTGAGTTCAAGGCCAGCGTCATCTCCACAGTGAGCTACACACTGAGGTTCTGTCTTAACTAATCAATCAATAAATAAGCAGATGAAAAATCAGTAGTGGGTTAAAAAATTTATAAAGGTGATTTTTTTTCCCCTTCCAGTTCCCTTCTGGATACTTCATCCTGTGCTTACAGTGTGTGGTGACATATAGTATGTGCTGTAGTGACGTCATGTCGTATAGGCACTGGTGACAACATACTGTAAGAGCTGTGATGACAGACAGTATGGCCTCTAGTTATATAGGTACATATTTCCCTTAGACACATCTCTCTGTATTCAGCTTTGTCTTTTAGAAGTTCTTCATAACTTGGGCTTTTTACTAAGTTAGTCCACTTCTACCCAAGTCACAAACATTACTGTGTCTGAACTATAGTTAAGTTTTCCAAATTAAAAAAAAAGTCCCAGTTTTCTCTCCTGTCAGGCAGGAAGCATTTCCGGGAGATTAATCACTGTTTTGCCTTGCAAAATTCAGAAGGTTCAGAGAACTTGGTAAAGAAGGTTGTATCACCCGACTTTGATTTTTGGTTTTTGGAAGCAGTCCCACTTGGGTGGAAGCAATGATGAGTCAGGTTGCGGGTGATCGCCACAAACAGTGTCACTCTATAAAGTCGGGCTCAGGAGGGTGGACATAGGAGAAGGTAGAACACAGCGAAGGCAGCTCAGAGCCAGGGGAAGCCGTGGAAATGAAGAGTCTCCTAGTCCTGCTGTGGCTGTGTGTGGCAGTTGGCTGGTCCTATCCGTTGCACAGTAGCGCCGACTCCGACATGGAGTTTCTTCAGGTAAGAAGTGGAAATGGCCTCAGGGCTCTTTGGCAGGGCACAGTTTTGCAGTCCACAGACTGGTTCTGACTGTCTGTGTAGGAGTGGTTCTGCAATGGAGGAGTGTTAGAAGGTCTCAAAATCACATGATTCTTCCTTTGGTATAGAAGAAACAAAGGCTGTCAGTGTTGGGTAGTACTTTGAAGGTCACACATGCTGGCAGTGGCAGCAGCACTAACACTGGAGGCTCAGGGGTGACGAGGGACGAGAGCACCAACTGCGCCTTGCTTTGGACCATCCTTCAGGGCTTGAGTCCAGTGTAGCTCAGAAAAATATTTATAGTGTTAGTTCATGAGAGGCTTGCCTAACTTTTTCCTAGTAAGCCACTATGAAAAGTGGAAAATTGAGTGAATTAAATAAAATTACCCCAAACAGACAACTATTCTCACGAAGGCTTATTTGTTCCTTTTGACATTCTCTGCACTAAATCCTTCTGAATTTCCTCTCACTTCCATTGCTTTAACAACAAAAAAGACACTGTTGCAAAAATAAAGCCAGGAAGGGGCCATCCCAGACAAATTAAATGAAGTGTTATGCTTACATTTCAGCGAACTAGAAAAGTAGGTCAAAGAGATTAAGAAAAGTAAAGCCATTGATGGGCTTGGTGGTCCAAGCCTGTAATCCCAGGGCTCGGGAGGCAGATGCGGGTATCATGAGTTCAAGCCATCTGAGCACGAATTCAAGGAGTTCCTCAATTACATATTGAGATCCTGTCGTGATGAATGAAATAAAGAAGGTGTATGACGTTTACTACAAATAGCAATATCAAAGTAATCAGAATTGAAACTTCAAAGCTGTATTTATCCCGTTAGAAATACTTAGAAAACTACTACGGCCTTGCAAAAGATGCGAAGCTGTTCATGAAGCAAAAGGACAGTAGTCCTGTTGTCAAAAAAATCCAAGAAATGCAGAAGTTCCTCGGGCTGGAGATGACAGGGAAGCTGGACTCCAACACGATGGATGTGATGCTCAAGCCCAGATGTGGCGTCCCCGACGTTGGTGGCTTCACTACCTTTCCAGGTTCGCCAAAGTGGAGGAAAAACCACCTCACCTACAGGTAGGCAATTGGGTCCAAAGTTTTCACACAATGCTAGCAACTGCCAGAGGCCTCGCAGCCACACACACTTCCTTCTTCCACTTCTCTCATCCAGGGTTGAAAATTACACACCGGATTTACCGAGAGAGAGTGTGGATTCTGCCATTGAGAAAGCGTTGAAAGTCTGGGAGGCTGTGACCCCGCTCAGGTTCTCCAGGCTCTCTGAAGGAGAGGCGGACATCATGATCTCCTTCGCAGCTGGAGGTAAAAGCCCAAGAACTGAAACACACATTGCCCAGTGGCATCTTACTGAAAATGAGACAAGGAGGTCCTAACCAGCAATTGTCAGTTCTAACTATGTACCTTTTCCCTTCAGAACATGGAGACTTCATTCCTTTTGATGGGCCTGGAGGAGTCTTGGCTCATGCGTATGCCCCTGGGCTGGGGATTAACGGGGATGCTCACTTTGATGATGATGAACAATGGACAGAGGACACCACAGGTTAGTGCTCTGCCTCACAGCTGGACTCAGTGTTGGAAAATTTTCGTTACTAATGCTAGAATGTGTTCTGGATTCCAGTGGAACACAGTTTATTTGTTGTTGTTTTAATAATTGCTTAGTGTAGTTTCTGGTGCCTAAAAAACATTTATTTTCCTAATAAGCACAACATAAAATATATCACTAAGTGTTTGACCTGTCCAACTTTGATGTGATGGTTTTTTTTTTATCTTATTATATTTTGTTTTGTTGGTATGCCTTAGAAGCCTCTTCTTTTCCAATGAGAGACAGAAAGGGAGTGGGTCTAGGGAAAAGGGAGGTGGGGAGGAGCTAGGAGAGGCAGAGGGAGGCGAAGCTCTAATCAGGATATAATGCATGAGGAAAAACTATTTCCAATAAAGAGGAAAAATCATGAAATTTTTAGTAGTTGTAGATCTTGTTGATCTACAGGCTCTTCTTACTAAAGGTTCCTAATGGTATCCATCTGTAGACAGCCAAGCAATACAACAAGGGAGTGTATCCATTCCCGTCATTTGCCCTCTTTACTTTTCAAACCAGAAGCCAAAATTAAACTTCAGAAATCTAAGCGGTTTTTGTTTGGTTGGCTGGTTTTAATAAGCTTACAATTTTGTGAGTTCTAGTAAGGATGATTTTTTTTTATCAGTTTCTGAAAGAAAAGAACCATCTCTGAAGGACAATGGCAGAGCTGTCTAAGCAGGTTTCTTTTCGTAACTTCGGGGATTGACTACACTTTAAAATACTTGACTGAAATAAATTTTATTACTTTTGAGATTAACTGGGATTCATAATAAAAATATGAACTGATATATTTAGAAAGTACAAATATAAGTTTTGCACTGAATAAAATTCTCGTGTTATGGAATTAGCATTGCCCAGACCCGCCCCCACAGAGGACCCTCTTTTAAAAGGAGAACTTCCTCGGTCCGCATCATCCACAGGGAACATCTGTCAGAGTTTCACCAATCTCATCCCCTCGCAGCTTCAGCCTGAGGGGCTTGTCTCCCACCGTTACAGTGAGAAGAAAGTGAGCACAGTTAGAATCCAAGAGATCATTTACAGCAAACACTGAGGCATGCTATGTTTAGACCAGTTTTACAAACCCTATGCCGTCTCTCCCCTCAGTTGTCGTCTGGGACTTGGTATGAGAAAGGATGTAGGCAGAATCCAATGGGAAGCGCAGGATTAGGGTTAGTGAAGGGTTTTAGATGGAGATGAATACCACCTGAGATGAGCTGACCGATCCCGAAACTGTCAAGTGCTAACCACAGGGAGCAGTTTTAGTTTTTCGTGGGCGAGGGAAAAGAGAGCTCTGATATGCTAGATGATAAGTGATCTCTATTCCCACTGCGATGAGTGAGGATTGCTGCTCAGACCCTTTGAAGCCAGAGAGAGGACTGCTGGGTGAGTCGAGGTCCTTCAGACTGAGCTCAGGCACGAGTTTTCAAAGACACATGTTTTGTTCAATGAGACAGCAAACAAAGTGAGTACAAGCCTGTGTGTTTTCAGGAAGGAAATAAATGCTGTGTACTGCTCACCTATATGATATACATGCTGTTAAGGATAAGCAACTATTATTTATGATTTCTTCCATAGGTACCAACTTATTCCTGGTTGCAGCTCATGAACTTGGTCATTCCTTGGGTCTCTTTCACTCAGACAAAACTGAAGCGTTGATGTACCCAGTCTACAAGTCCTCCACAGACCTGGCCCGCTTTCGCCTCTCTCAAGATGATGTGGATGGCATTCAGTCCCTCTACGGTGAGTGATACCACATACTTGTCCGTAATCCAAGTCAGAGTTCTAGAGAGTTTGGGGGAAGCACACAACTGACAGGGGCCACATTTCTCCTAACTTTGCCTCCTTTAATCTGTTCCCTTTAGGACCTCCCCCAGCATCCCCTGATGTTCCCGTGGTACCCTCCAAGCCTAATACTCCGGAACCTGAGTTATCACTGATGTGCAGCCCTGATTGTCCTTTGATGCAGTCAGCACCCTTCGGGGAGAATTCTTGTTTTTTAAAGACAGGTCAGACAAAAGAATTCTAAATCCCTGTCTACTTTTGATAAAAATGCTTAGAAAGGATAGTAACATGTTTATATATATATAGATATATTACACACATTTCATACACAAATTCCACACACACACACATTACACACACCCACATTCTACACACACATTCCATACACACACACACATTCCACACACACATTCCATACACACATACATTCCACACACACACATTCCACACCCATACACACACATTCCACACACATACACACACATTCCACTCACATACACACACATTCTACACATACATACACATTCCACATACACCCACATTCTACACACACACATTCCACACACACACACACACATTCCACAGATACACATTCCACACACACACACACACATTCTACACATACACATACACACACATTAAACACACACATTCCACACACACACATTCTACACACACACACACACACCCCTCACTTACTCACTATGGGAAGTGTGGGTGATACTTTAATTACTAATTGCATGCTGTTTCCTGTGTCTTGCGTGTGGTTAAAGCTTATGCTGAGCCGATTAGCTGACACTGACATGATGGAGAGTTTTGCTTTCCAGATGCTGTCTGGAAACCTGTGGCAAGAGGACTGCTGTGGTCTCCTTTGTGGAGTGGGGAGGGAGCGAGACAGAGAGACCCAGAGAGAGCTATTTCCCAGTAATGACATTCCTACATTTTGGTGGCCCAACCCAGAGGATGAGAGAATGTTGGGTAACACACTAAAGATGGAAGCTTGCTTTTCATTTGTCACCTGTCTTTCTCTTACATCTATTTTTAGGCATTTTTGGCGAAAATCTTTGAGGACCCCCGAACCTGGTTTTTATTTGATCTCTTCATTTTGGCCATCCCTTCCTTCCAGCATGGATGCTGCCTATGAGGTTACTAGCAGAGACACTGTCTTCGTTTTTAAAGGTGACCTTTCCATAGCATTGCTTTACCTTAGTGGAACAAGCCTTTGGGCAGGAAAAGTGAACAGCGCTTTCCTTCACTATGTCCAATTCTGTGTAATTAAAAAATAGGCAAAGATAATAAAGAATCACATAAAACCAACATTTTATTTACAGTTTAAAAATGAACTCAGGGAGATACATTGCCAGGTTGAAAATTCCCTCATTTGACCTCTGTTGATTCTTTCCAGCTGGGCATTTTTCTTGAATGCCCATCACACAGCTAAGGCCTAAATTTATTCACCATGAAAAGACATGGTGTAAAGAATGTATTGCCAAATTGCAAGGCATGATTCCTGGACTTTTAACACTACTGATGTTTCTGTCATTCTTTCGTTTTTGTACAGGAACTCAGTTCTGGGCAGTCCGAGGGCACGAGGAGCAAGCAGGTTACCCTAAAAGCATCCACGCTCTCGGCTTCCCTCCTATAGTCAGGAAGATTGACGCCGCTGTGAGTGCTAAGGAGACGAAGAAGACCTACTTCTTTGTGGGCGACCAATACTGGAGGTGAGATGCTGGGGGCATGGCTTTGCGAAGAGACCACCTGAGAATTGCTTCTGCCTTAGAGAAAATGCTTCGGCCTCACGCTTTTCCTCCCTCTCCCTCTCTGGGTGAGAAGAGGGGCATTGAAAACTGTGGGGGTCAGAAACCCACACAGGAGCATTGACAACTGGGGGCTGGGGATCTAGAACCATGGACACATCTTCCAACAGGCATTTCTTAAGTTAGAGCATGCATCTCCTCCCCTCCCCCACTCTGTGTAGCCCCTATTCTCAATCCTGCACATACTTTAAGCTCAGGCCCCCCACCCTCATGAAGTCTTTGTTTCTGAACTTCATAATAAGCCCATGCCCCCATTCATCGCTCCTCTGCCAGAGCCCCAGAGTTATTGTTCCTATGTGTGGGTTGTCAATCTCTCAAAGACTCCAGCTGAGCTCACACACTGATGACCTCTGCCTGGTTACAGATGAGACACAAAGGCAGACCAGTTTCATGGTTTCCACTCAGGCCTCCTCACAGACTCCCTGAGTCCTAGGCCCCCAGTCCAGATGTTGAGACATCAAGGCCGACGGTCCAGTGTGCAGCTCATTGGCCCAAACCACACTTACTTCATTTCTGTCTCGTTCAGTCACCTTTGCTAGGGAGCTTCCATAGAGAACTCAGTGCAGAGAGTAGGGAAAGGATAGACAGCCTCCTTATGGTGGTGAGCTGGAGAGTATAGTTTCTTGTTTTTAATATCCAACTTCTAAAATTGATCATTTTATGAGCATTGTGTGTGTGGGTGTGTGCTTACACGTGCACCACATTCATGCAGTACCCTTTAGGCAGAAGTGCGCATAGAGTTCCTCTGGAATTGGAGGTACAGATGGTTGTCAGCCACCATGTGAGTGCTAGGGACCTAACCTGTGGCCTTTGTGAAAGCAGACATTGCTTTTAACAGCTGGCCATCACTCCAGCCCCAAACATTCCATTTCGATTTCTGAGGCCATATCTGTGTAAAAGTGTGTACGTGGTGTGCAGGTGTCCACAGAGGCCAGAAGAGGGGACCCCCTGATGCTCTGAGGCTGGAACTATAGGCAGCTGTAAGTCATCTGACTGTGGACGGTGACATGAACTGCAGTCATGGGAAAGAACAGCAAAAGTGTTCTTAACCACTAAGGCATCCCTCTAGCCATGGAAATCGTATTTCTGACCAGTAACTTAGTCCACACATATGTGCGTGTGTTCACTTATATGCAGACATATGTACACACGGTTGTGTATTCACACGACAATACAAACAAGTAGCTGTATCTGTGTAGATGATTGTGATTGAAAGAAGATCTGAAGATTCTCTTGTCCAGGCTTAAGAAAGACAGTAACAAACAATATTGCTGGAGTAGGCAGTTGTCTTGTTCCCAAAGTAGCTGTGATTTAAGAGCTCAGTTTTTACCTTATGAAAAACACATGGTACTAAAGAAGCTTGACATTTATGTGCAGAACTTGGAAAGCTTGCTGGAATTCCACAGGCTCACGGGCATGGGGAGCACGCCCTCCATTCACTGCTGAACTGCACTCTTGCTTCTTCTGCAGATTTGATGAGAAGAAGCGATCCATGGAGCCCGGATTTCCCAGGAAGATAGCCAAGGACTTCCCAGGCATTGACTCAAAGGTGGATGCGGTCTTTGAAGCATTCGGTAAGAGGACCTGCACTCGGTTGGCAATAGGGCTCTTGAAATGCTATGAGAGATACAGAGGAGGATTACATCATTTTTAATAACAGATTTTAAAGAATCAGTACTCTCCTCTCTCCCAAGAACTTCAACTCGTTTGCTTTGGTGGCATTTACTGTTCTCCTTCAGATGAGCTCTTTTGACTCATGAAGTTGATGAACACAGACTCTTCTTCTGCACACATGTGTGAAGACACCGTGCTGGCATGAGCTGCTGCCGTTCTTGATCCATGCTATTCCAAGGCTGCCGCCAGTGGTTGACCTGTTTTAAGGCTGGCTGGCCTTCTCAAATGCATGTTTCCACTATTCAATTGTAGACTTTCTCTGTCTTTCCAGACTCAGTTAGTGACTAACAGCATTGCTTCTTGTAAATATTCATCTTTCCATGCACCGAAACTTAAGGAACTTTTCCTATGCAAGAGTAAGCTGGCGATTGTTACTGACACTGAGAGCCACATCTGCAGGGAGGAGAAGGGGTAGAGCTTCAGTCACAGGCTCCTTAGGGCCAGAAACAGCCCTAGGGCTGGAAGGATGACGGGAGAAGAAGTACTTGGAGCAAAGGAAATAAAGCTTAGTTTCAAACAAGCAGGGATGTTTTTATTTTTTATTTTTTCTGATTGTAACACAGACTCAGTGCTGTCTCCTTCCCTCCCTGGCAAGTACACCGAAGCAAATATTAACATCTGCCTAAACTTCAATGGTTATCAGAAAGATGGAATTAGATACGCTTACGTCATAGAGCTCTTGCCCAATCAAGTTTTTAAAAATAGTAGCTTTATTAATGCTTGACATTTTTCCTGACGCAGACTAAAACTACAGAGATACTCTGTGTTGTTTTGTTGCTGTTTTCTCTGATGAGCAAGGGCTTCAACCCAGGACTTAAAATGCTCTAGGCATGGTTTGAATGTATGATTTGGACATTCTAGGCAAGGGTTTGAACACATGACTTAAAACACTCTCAACAAGTGTTTGAACATATGATTTTGGACACTATACGCAAGGATTTGGACATACAACTTTGGACACTATACGCAAGGATTTTGACACACAACTTTGGACACTCTAGGCAAGGATTTGAACACACAACTTTGGACACTCTTAGGCAAGAATTTGGACACACAACTTTGGACACTCTAGGCAAGTGTCATACCACTGAGTCACATCCTGATTCTTTCTGTTTTTTACTTACCTCTTACTGAGCATTTTATCTTTCCAAGTTTCTATGTAGAAGAAAGTAGCTCACATTTTCTCTTGTCTTTACATGCAGGGTTTTTCTATTTCTTCAGTGGATCTTCACAGTTGGAGTTTGACCCAAATGCAAAGAAAGTGACCCACGTGTTGAAGAGTAACAGTTGGTTCAACTGTTAGAAGAGATTCGAGGATATTTTATCTGGCATATTTTATCTGAAGTTGACAGTTTTCCGTCCGAGTCTTTGTGAACTGAAGAAGTTTGTTTCTCCCAGTATGTGCTATGACAGACCCAGATGGAAACTGTGGGTCTCCCCAGCCAGACTCACGTGGTCACAGGACATCCAGAAGCACCCTTAGCATGTCTGTTACCTGGAGAAGATGGGGTCAGTCCTGGGCAACAAATAAGCGACTACATTTATGTAGATTATTTGTTTTATCTAATAAAAATTGATGTATCATTTATTTAATCAAGGAATTTTGCACGTTGATTTTCAGAACGATTACTCAGCATCTTGGGTGCTGAGGAACTGAGCAACACAAAGCTTGAGATACTGGGTCGTTACAGGTAAACACTCGCTGTCTCTACTAGTGAGCTTATTCATAAAAAACAGTACCACTCACCCCCTAAAGCACTCCAGAAACAGGAAAATACAGATGTGTGTTTTCCCCACCTAGACTTCATATGGCTTTGTCATACCTAATGGAAAAAGCTAGAGATGAATCTCATGTTCTAGGTCTGGTTTTTAATAACTGCAATGAATCCTACACTCACAGCGAATAATCTAGTTTGAACGCCTCATTTTGCAGGTGAAGGGATCAAGTCTATCCCTTTAGCTTACGTATGTCCTCAGTACTGTCCCTCCCTGTCTCAGCCATCAACTGCCCTCAATCGACACTGTACGCACATGAAAACATCATCTTGAGCTCATTTTGTGTCTGTGTGTGCCTCATGGTGGACATCTGTCTGCAATGGCTATTCTAAAGCAGGTTTCTCATCCCTGAGCAGCCCTTACGTTCAATGCCTAAGCATGTAGTGGATGCTCACTCACCTTTAGGCTATCCATTCATTCTGAAATAATGTATTAATCACATTCCATGTGCCAGGCATTGTGCTAGACTGGAGACATGGAATCCTGAAAATATGTTCACAGTTCCTGACTTCACTGGGATTATTATAATTATCATTCACATCCAGGAAAGACACACAAGACATCACAGATCTGAAGAAGCGCTTACAAGGCTAAGGAGTCAAAAAAGAAAGCACACTTTTGTGTCGACTTCTAGGAGACTCTTCTTAGAACTGTGTCTTTTCAGGGGAACATTTGAGGCTGGTGGAACCACAGAACAGGGCCTGACTGTGGTGGCAGGTTTGGTAAATGAGGAGAAGGCCTTAATCATAAACAGAAGAAAATTCTAAGAGCATTCTACAGAGGACGGGCAGCATCAAGGAAGGCTCTAAAACTCCTGTGACCTGACTTCTGGCCCCTTGGCTCACTATCTTGATTCTGTTCTGTAGATTTTATATGCAGGCTGGCCCTGGAGGCTCCAGAAAGGCTTAGTCCCATTGCCCTGGGAAGTTTTGGTCCTGGAAAGGCCCAATACTCTGTATACAGGAAAGAGGAGTGTCTGACCTGAGGTAAAGAGGAAGGAAAGCAGATGCTGAGGATCTGCTGAGGAATTAGGGATAAACCAACGGAAAAGGGGCTATGACCTAGGTGAGGAGATGAGCGCCAGCACATTACGAGTCAGAGAAATATATATATATATATATGTAAAATTTTTATATAGTATTGATTAGTCATGATCCTTGGTCTATAGTCTGCTGTCCTGAGTACTGTGCTTTTCATTTCACAGTGTTTAAAAAGTATATGAGAGCTGACTTAAAAATTCAATTTTTGATTAATTAGATTTATTAAAGTTGTTTAAGTATTTAGAAATATTATTGACTTTTAAGTCTGCTCAAAAGAATTGCACTATTTGAAAACTTATCCATGTTAAAAATACTGATTAAATTTTATTTTTAGTGTAATTCAGATAGCCATTTTAATGCAATTCAAGTAATTAAGAATACTTTATATTTAACTGTATTAGGCAATTGAATATTAAAAAATCAGTGTGAGGGATGGTATTTATTTTTATGTGAGGGCTGGCATTTATTTTTATGCTAGTATGCTATGCAGAATGACATGACTAGAAACGAACAAAGACCTATTGATTTTTGAGACAAGGTCTCACCAAGTAGCCCTTGCTGGCCTGCAACTCACTGTGTGGACCAGACTGACCATGCTCTTGAGACAGTCTGCTTGCTTTTGTCTTCTAAAGAGTGCTAAGATGGCAGATGAGCATGCCATACCTGACTGATTAGTTTTGAGAATGCTTCATCATCGACTTTCAGAAAATTATGATACCAAAGAACTCTATCAATAAGTTTGCAAAAAGCAAGCCCCCAATGGACATGAGAAAATCCAAACACAACACTGGCATACCGTACTATTTCTATTTCAACATAGAAAGGAAGCAGATATACATCGTTTGTGTGTGTGTGTGTGTGTGTGTGTGTGTGTGTGTGTGT